CATGCTCAGACTCTTTGAGGAAGTCGATATCTCGTGATGAAATGATGCCGACCAGACGTCCGCCCATCTGTCCGTTGTCAGTGATCGGAATCCCACAGAATCCATGCCGAGCTTTTGCCTGAAATACATCTCTTACCCGCTCGTTAGGACTCATCACCACCGGATCCGTAATGAAACCCTGTTCGTACCTCTAAACGGAGGTTGATCAAAAGTGGAGGGAAAGGGAGGGAGAAAAGTCAAGTGATTTTCTATTAGGCATTTCTATTTGGGAGTCACCTCAATACACATCACTTAATACAGAAAGAGGTGTGGATTTCTCATTCACAAGGACACTGTTGCAACTACAGGGTAGGGGTCAGAGGAAAAACATATTACGAATGAGAAAAGAAAGCTGGTACATTCATAAAAAGACAAGAGTCAAAGAAAGAGACCTGAAGAGACTCACCTTGACCTTACGGACTTCATTAGCCTGGAACTCTGGAGTGCAGTTATGATGAATGAAGCCAATCCCACCAGTCAGCTGTGAAAACACATGATCACATCAGACTTTAGAACAAAATGCTACACACATAGATAATCAATCTTTGTAAATTTAGGTTTAAAAGGATTAAAAATTCAAGTGGAATGTGGTTTTGGGGAGACAGGACAGGACATTTTTAGGAAAAAAAACTCCACTTACCTGGAAGAGGAAGTACATTTTAGATGTGTATGTCAGCTAAGATTTTTATTTTGTCAACTTCTAGAAGTATATTTGCAAAGATGGTCTAAAAGCTAATGGACATAGATTTAAAGGGGTCATATGATGCTGCTAAAACTTTATGCACCAAGTGCTTGTAACACTCCAAAGAGAAAGGAAAAATTGAAATCGCATCATATGACCCCTTTAAAAGACTCCTATCTTGATTCATGCGGACTTTAATGATTTCATTGATATCAAAATATGAGGCAGCATGTTTGCAAATAATCTTTTCTTTTGTAATATGCACACATTTAGATAATTGTGCTTACTCAAATGCCTATAATAGTAAGAGCACTTTCTGTGTTGGAATCCTGTCTCAATCATCTTCTTACCGCCATAGCAATGGCCATGCCAGACTCTGTGACTGTATCCATGGGTGACGAGACCAGTGGAGTTTTCGTTGTGATTTGTTTGGTCAGCGCTGATGTCAGGTCCTACAGAGAGAGCCAATCAAATTAAACCACTGATGATACACAAGCAACATCATCCATCCAGCAGTAGAGTGTACAAAATTGACTACTGTTGACTACTGTTCATAAGCAGAGTGTTTCACTTACCACTTGGTCAGCTGTGAAGTCAATGTACCCTGGCAGGATCAGAAAATCACTAAAAGAGAATGGAGAAAAGTGAGCGAAAATTAGGAGATTAGGGAGATTAATTAATTTACAGCTGCTGCAAGTGAAATTTGAACACATATCACTATTACTTGACAGATGTAACTGGAAAAAGGTGTCCTTAGAAATAATACTCGTATCTGTGACCGCATCGCATTGGACTCCAGTTCTAGCCAATCAGAAATCTTTATAGATGGCTCTCTGCCAATAGCAAGAGTTTGGGGTGGGACTAACTGTTTGACCAACCAATGGCAGAGTGGAGTGTTTGGGAAACATAATCGGAAACTATTTATGTATGTATGCATGTATTTATTTATTTAGAAACATTAACAGTTATACATTTAAAACAGGCTATTTTTTACAATTCTGCAGAAATCGCTTTTATGAATTACACCGAATCGATAATGATTCAGTGAGTTGATGACTTGAGTACCTCTCTGACTGATTCAGTCCGATTCGCCAACATTCAACTCTCTTATCTCGTACACACTGACACATGCATACATACACACCACGTTGATTATGTTCCAAAGACAGTCACTTTATCTATTATGTCACATATCATGTTGTTTACGAGTGTGTCAAGCTACACGCTGTTTATGATAAAATCGAGTACGTCAACGCTGCAACCTCATTATATCCAATGTAAACAGTCCATTAGCGTACGAGTCTTGTGTTAGATGGTAAACAGAAAGGCGTTTCTGGAAAAAAAAAAACCTCGCACCTGCCACGGATAGGCTTTCACTCGGGGACATTATATGCTTTACATGGCACCAGAGAATTTGTAAAGGGAAAACAGCCACAACATACTTCACGAAGCTCAACCTATTTATAGCGCATTTGGAAGGCCTGGCCTGAGAGACAGCGATTAGTTTTGGTACAAGAAAAGCTGCTTGGGGTGTCAGTGGTTTAAGAATAGACTGTGGTAACTCTACTTCTCTGTACTTGGCAAAATGGAATGGCAGCAGATGAATCCCCACAGTTCATCAGTCAATCCAAGATGTCCCTTCGACCTGACTTGACCTTGTGAACCCACATGGCACCACACTGACATGCGCCCTCCATAGTGATCCGTCTATGCAGTACTAACCCACGTGAAACCAAATTGCACAATAGATGAAGAACAGTGTGCTGTCACATATACCCATGCTGGATGCCAAAGCAGACAAATGTGGACCAACAACGACACCTACATGCTGTTCAGCCCATGTTATATGTTTTAAATGAAGCTGCATACTGTGTAAGCACATCTGCAGTGGTGACTGGCAAGCCTGTTTGATGTTTAACAAATAGCAAGCATATGGAGAATGAAACAGAGGGGTATGAGACTCAACTTAAGGTATTTACTTATAGGTAAGGCCGTCTCCGCAGTTGAAGAGTTGCTGTCCGGTTAAACCGTCGTCAGGCACGTAGCCCGTCTGTCCGCTGATTAAATAGTCCGCCATAGCGCCTGAAAAGCGTAAAAGTCCAAATTCTCACAGGAGGTGAGCCGGTGCGCACACAGTCCGGTGAGTGATGTTCTCCTCGGAGCTTCAATCTGACAGTCTTCACGGCACCTAATGACATTAAATGTCATAAAAAAAACTGAGGTTTCTATTAAGAAACAGGTCTTAATCAAAGAAAGACCCAGCGTGCTCTTGTTTTTGGGACTGAAGCTGGCCCATAGTGCCCACAAGCATCACACGTGCCTGTCTGTACGACCTCGTCTTCCGCAGATATTAATAAGCTGTCTTCGTACGTCACTTCCGGGCTGTAGTAGGGTGGCGTTTATTCGCTAAAACAGTTTTATTTAATATTCCCGAATATAGGAGACTGAGGGGTCATCTCTTTGCCCTGGGGTGCAGTGGAAGGGTGGGGTGTTTGTTTGTATCGTCTGTTGTGGGCGCATTCTCGTTATCTCGCGCGCACATGTGTTCAGCACGAGGGGAACTTCGATTTAAATTTATCTCGTGCACTCTGTTGCTGACTTTATTTGGTTCGCATGAACTGACCTGAATATCCTCCTGAGACCCAGCTATGGAGTTTTTGCCTCTGTAGTGGACATTATATTTTAGTGAATTTCTCTGAGACCTCACATGTTACAGTTCTAGTCTGGATGTCCTGTACAGAGCACATTCAGGGCTTTCCAGAGATACCAAATGATTGGATGTTTCACCATGACCACTCCCTCTCCTTGGTTTTTAAAAATGGCTGACATTAATTTAGTGATAAAATTGTACATCCTTATGGAAATATGATAATATTTTGTAATTATAATTTAAATCTGATTAATTTTCAAATTGTTTGTCATAAATCAACATCTCAGGAAAATGTTATGGGGTTTCAAATCAAAATATGACCTTCTGTTACGAAACAGGACATCATACAATGTAATGACATGAAAAAATACTAAATTCACAAAGCTTGTTATTTCTGGTTCTCAGGAGGATATGCAGGGCCCGGGATCGCGCGAGGACACCTAATGCCCTTCTAGTGCGCGCAAGGGCCATTTGAAGAGTGTTGTTTTTACTGTGAAATAATTTTCCTAATATTTATTCTATTAGGGCCGCAATAAAAATACAGTAGTAAAATAAATTTGACATATTTAAGCCTTGTATTTTTAATATTAATATTTTTGTATAATAATAGATTTTTGTTCTTTATCAGAAATGTTGACTGCATCTGATCTGTGTATGCGTTTGACTTTTGGAGAGAAAAAGCTAAATCCTAGCTAAATCCTTTATGAAACATCAAAAAGGAAAAGTGGTTCATACAACACTGCATATTGTGTTTATTCTTTTCTATAAAGACCAAAATGTTGTATTTCATGGCTGTGGGTTGCATATAGTAATTATAATTATCCTGATGTAAGAACAGTGCAAGTAATCAGTTTGTGACATCTCCAATTCTGTGTAAACACAAAATGGCAAATATGAACTGTACTAATATATGGCAGCTCTAACATTCTGGTGTCAGAGGCAAATCTGGTTTTGCGTAAATGAAGTGATACATGTCAAAAAGTTGTGTAGTGCATGAATATATCCCATTTCAAATGCACATGTACACTACCTTTCAAAATTTTGGGATCTGATTTTTTTTATTGACTTTTTTTTTAACCTAGCAAGGATGCATTCAACTGATCAAAAACAGAATACATTTAATGTTATAAAATATTTATATTTTTAAATAAATGTTTAAATGTTCTTCCTAACTTTGATCATCAAAAAAAAAATCCAGTTTCCATACTACATTTAGCAGCACAAACATTTTCACCTGTGATAAGATTTAATAATAAAATAATGAATACTAATAAAATAATTACCTTATTAAAAATAATTGTAAAAAATCTTGAGCACAAATCAGCATATTAGAATGATTTCTGAAGGATCATGTGACAAGGAAGACTGTAGTAATGGCTGCTGAAAATTCAGATTTGCCATCACAGGAATGAATTACATTTAAGATATATTAAAACAGAAAACGGTTATTTTAAATATTTCACAATAATACTGTTTTACTGTATTTTTAATCAAATACATGCAGCCTTGGTGAGCAGAAGAGACTTCTTTCAAAAACAAACAAATATTACTGACAGCAAAATTTTTAATGGTAGTGTAGTGCAAATACATCTTTAATGTGTGTGCACAAGAAAACACAAGAGTCACTGGTTTAAAAACTCTCTCAGTATCTCTATTTCTGTATTAATGTACAACCGTTGAAAATTACAGCATCATTTGTTTTTCATCTTTTTTTTTTTTCAGTTTTCTTTTTTTTCAGTTTTTTTTAAACGATCTATCTATCAACAGCCATTTCCAAGGAAGAAAAAAAAAACAGAAGAAAGCAAGAGTGAGAAGGAAAGAAGGCAGAATTTATGGCAGGAGCAATGATGGAGGAAGAAAGAGTTAGACTGTTTCGGTGGAGTGTTTTGAGTGCGTGTGTGTGTGTGCGCGTGCGTCTAATGTCAGCTGACATGGGGGTGTGAGAATGCAATGTTTGTGTATGCGAATGCTAGGATACAATCGTGCTATTCTCAAACCCTGCAGCTGAGTAAAGATTAGAAAGCAAAAAAGGGGCACTGATGAAGGAAAGAATGAACAAAAGGGAAAAAAACTGCTTTGAAAAGAGATGCTCTAAATGAGAAAAACACAAAGCAGATGGGCAAAAACGTTATGAGATGCAGAGTAGAGTTTTGACAAAAAAAGTGGAGGGGTATCTTTGGAGAGAAGGGGCCAAGACAGTTGAGAGAAGAGTGAACTCGACGTGGATTTGATGGACGGATGTTCAGGTGTCGTGGAAATCCTTCAGCAGCGTCCGTCTCTTCTGCTCAGCAATGTGCATCTGATTCTCCAGATCCTACAGAGAGAAAGCAATTTTTTTTTTTATTCCAGTGTTCCCGTTCACAACTTCCTCTAGTCTTTGTTCCAGCTCTCACCCCTCTATCGTTAGCGCTCGGCTCTCCTCTCTCATAACTGTCTGCTCTCTCCACTTTCCATGACAAGTTCTCGATCTCCGCCTCCAGCTGAGCTTGCTGATACTCAAACTACAGGGAATAAAAATGAGATTTCCCATTACCAAAGACTGATCTCAAAGAGATATTTGACCTTCAATGAGAGATTCACACATTTAATGCAAGTGCTTACCAATTTTTTGCGGGGTCCAGACTCCATGTAGTAGGCATAAGGATAAGTGTACTGCAGTGTGTAACGACACTATGGAGAGAGCAAACACACAGCGTAAGTGTGTGGAAACATGGACCCTTATGCGTATGCATTTGTTTCTGCAGAATAGGGCTGCAAGATTAATCGAAATAACTGGAATAGGTCAATTATCAAATCGCAAAGGCTACAATTTAATTAAACAAGTATATACGCTGATTGTTTCAAAGTGTAGCGTGGCACAGTGTCATTTGACTTGAGAGCAGTTTTTCGGGGGGTTTTTTTCACAGTAAATGCAGCTCTGAATCACACAAACTCCATCTCTGAATCTGCTAAGTTTGGGTCGATTAACGTACATTTGGGAACGCAACATGCGCCAACCGTCTTCCCAAACTTGTAATGAGAAGTGCTTATAAACTGGCTGCCATGAAAAAAAGAGAAGCTTTGAGGTTCCCCTCCATTTTTCCACCAAAATAAAAGCTTGATGGTTTAATGTTTGAAAATAAAAAAAAATAAGACTATTAAAAATAAGACTACTAAGAATATTAGTACTACAAGTTTATATAGTTTTACTGTAAAATAAAAGTATTATCATTTTTTTCGTTTACATTTTATAGCCAAATTGATATATAAATTACAATGTTTTTGGGCTAAATTGTGTAGCCTTACAAACAACTAAACCTCCGCAAACCTTTAAAAAAAAAAAAAAAAAAAAAAAAAAAAAAATGTAAATCATAAACCGCAATTTTTGTCAGAAAAAAATCCCAATTTTCCACAAATCGTGCAGCCCTACTGTGTAGTACAGCTGGATTCAGCTTGTACCTTGGCCAGTAGATTGGCAGCATTCTGCAGGTACTGCCAGTCAATCCAGGTGCCCAGGTTATTCATGACTCGCTCCTGAATCTTCTCCTGGATCCGCTGGTATGTCTGTGCCTCCAGCTGCATACTCTTATTGTGGTTCTCCCACTGGACAGACAGATAATGTACAGATTGATGCTTACGTATCAAAGCAATTAAGTGTCAATGGAGTTATTAAGATGAAACCTGCAACTCATAAATACAATGAGATAATAGCTCAGTTTCAAATCTAGTGAGCTGTATTGTTGCCATCTAGGCAGTATCCTAACTGAAAAAGAACACCATATAGGCAACAACTGGACAACCACCATAAAAAATTCCATTCCAACAGGGTTTGCTGTTAGCATGTTGCTAAGCTAACAGCATGATACTCTTAGCATAACAAATTAGATAGCACACATAAATATTGAGTAAAATAGTCCATTTAGATTTAGAATTAGACATTTTTATTGATACCTCTCTGTAATGAGTTAACTATAATGTTACTGCCTACTTTTTGAAACAACCTACTTGTCAGGACACTACTAAGGTCACTAAGTTTTGGAACAAAGTTAACGTTTATCAGTCTTTTTCAAAAGAGATTTATTTATTATTAATTAATGATTTTTGTCTCACCCTCTCAAAGTAGAACAGGTACTTTTTGAGGGCCTCTCTGGCCTGGGCCTGCTGGCTCTGATTCACGATGTCTGGGTTCTCTTTGTAGCGACTGCACTCGTAGTACTCACTGCCATGAGTCTTCCAATCTCCCAGACACATCCAGCAGAAATCTACACACAGCCATAACAATGTCATTCATTACAATTAAGATTTGAGCATTGCTGCAAAGAGAGGAAGAGAAAATACATGTTCAGTAAAAACATGAATCTTTTTTGTATTATCATCCTTTTTAACATACACTACTTTCTGTTCATCAAAGAATCCTGAAAAAAATGCATAGCGGTTTCCACAAAAATATTAAGCAGCTAAACCGTTTTCAACACTGAAAAAAAATGTTTCTGGAGCACAAATCAGCATATTAGATTGATTTCTGAAGGATCATGCGACACTGCTTCTGAAAATTCAGCTTTACCATCACAGGAATAAATTACAACTTAAAATATATTAAAATAGAAAACTCTTATTTTAAACTGTAATAATATACTGTTAATAAAAAAATGTTTTTACTGTATTTTCATTCAAATAAATTCAGCTTTGGTGAGCATACGAGACTTCTTTCAAAAACATTTTTAAAAATCTTATCAGCCCCAAAGTTTTGAACAGCAGTGTGAATCTTGTTGAAAAAGTGAAGATTTGTTTTGATCTTATTTTGATGAGAACAATCTGAAGTTAACAAATAAAACATTCAAGTAGTACTCTCACTCTGACATGCTGGGCATTTTATTAAGTGACCTCAAAAGTGTGCAGATAAATCAAAAAGATTGTGTATACTACTCGCCATGTGGTTGCACCCTCCATTCTTCTCAATGCAGATATTGCACTTAGGGCACTGTGGGCACAAAATCAAAACATAAGGATATTAATAATATCTTTACTATCAAATAAACTTACACTCAACAATATATACTTAATGTGTCCATCTTAAATGTATCTGTGTGTGCTTCCTTACGTCTTTAGTGTGTGCACTGATGTAGTTGGCTGTCTCAGAGTCATCTGCACATTTGGTCAGCCATTTGCGGATGGTAGCACAGTCTGTGGGTGCATGATACATCTGTCTGCACTTAAAACTGACGACAGACGGACACAGTCAATCCAAACACACACATGCAATTCCATGTATTACGCCATGAACCGAGTAGTGTGTGCGAGTGTAATTGTGTGTAATACCAGAAGACTTCTTCGCAGCGGCTGCATTGGACTCTACGAGCTCGAGGTTTCTGCACCTGTATAACTATCGGACAGTCGGCACCAGGACACAACTGCAGCTGGAAATGACTCTGCAGACACACGGAAACATGAGCAGGTTAGGGGCAATCAGTGAGATGTGCCTGTTCTACAGTGTGACAAAACTGGAGATGTACTGATATCAGAATTCTGCCGGATACCAATTTCCATGTTATGGCCAATATAAAACTAAATGAAATAAAAACGTAATATTTAATAAATACAATAAATTTATAATACAATATAATAAATAAATCTAAAAAGAATAATGTTAAATTAAATTTTTTAATTTAGGCAGCATAATATTATAATTTACTACACATCACCGATTAAAAGTTTGGGGTTGGCAAAATTTTAAATGTTCTTGAAAGAAGCGTCTTATGCTCCTCAAGGCTGCATTTATTTAATAAAAACACAAAACAGTAATATTGTGAAATATTATTAGCATTTAAAATAACCGATTTCCATTTTAATATATTTTAAAATTCAATTTTCAGAAGCCATTACTCCAGTCTTCAGTGTCACATGATCCTTCAGAAATCATTCTAATATACTGATCTGTGCTCAGTAATGATTTGTTATCAATAATGAACAGTTTTAATATTTCATATTTTTGTTCTGATTTTTTGACAAATAGAAAGTTCAGAACAGCATTAATTTAAAATAGAATGTTTTATGTAACAACTGTCAGTTTTTGATAAATTTATTTTAATCCTTGCTCAATAAAACTACTAATTTCTGTGTAATAATTCTGTAATATAATGTATAATAAAATAATGTTTTTAAAAAGTGTTAGTCATCGACAAAGTAATCTAAATATAATAACAGGTGAAATGAGCATGCAAAATTAAATATTACAATAATCTTATATTGGCAGGTAACTTGTATGGTAATCTAATATTGGCAGGTAACTTGTATGGTAAAGACACATTGTGCACTCCTGGACAGACACATACCTCCACATAGTCCCTGAAGAGGTAGCGTCTGTATTTGTCTTTCAGTTCCTCGCTGGGCAGCAGAGGAAGAACAAAATCATCTGGCATGCGAAGAGAGCAGTCCTGCGCCATGCAGGAGATCTCTACAGACAAACCCAATCCACAGAGGAGATCAGATAACAAGCTCACTCTAATCAGCAATACATACTCTACTGCACAGTCTTTATGTGCTCAATGTGTGTGTGTGTGTGTGTGTGTACACTCACCTACTCCCACGCCATCTTTGACAAGTACAGTGCAGTGCTGCTCCCAGCATGCCTTGCAGAAGGAGTGTTGACAGGGTAGAGAGAGGAGAGCGTCTCTCCGGACCAGCTGCAGACACACCCCACACTGCTGCGACGTCCCGACCTGAAAACACACACACACAAACGCATGTCAAGAGAAGGAAGTGCAGTAATGATCGTTAACAGTATAATTAACGGTTGTCCCAGGAAACCAGTTTTTTTCACAGCTGTGCTTGTTTCTTGTCTTTCAAATCACTATGTCCCACATAATAAAATAATTAAACTTGAATCGATATTACTTGTCCATCATTGATGTGGCAAATAGCAGTGTAAGATGCAGAATAAAGTACAGTCAGCTGGTCATTATCATAAAATAAACCCCTTTATTGCATGTATACCATACTCAGTGACATCTACAAATTGTCAAAGAACAGATTTCAGGATGGGCACATTTTTAATTGCCTCAACATTGCATTTTAAAGCTTCTTGGAATTCAAGTTAAGGGATTTTAATCCGAAAAAAGAAAGAAGAAAAAAGTATATTTTTCATAAAAATAACTATGTAAAAGACAGTTCTCACGTCTAAACACACACACGGATTACAGGAACTCACAGTGAGAGATCTGCAGATGCTTGTGGGCTGAGCATGGGCTTCACTTAGCAACTGAGAGGAATTGGACTTATACCTTCAAATACAAGAAAATATTAACAGATTGAGACAGAAGTAACAGAAAACGTGTCCAAAAACTTTTTTAAGATTAGGATTTTAGGTTAAACATTATTTGAATGTAATTAATATTTTAGGTGCTGTATTTAGCTGCATTTTCACTTTTTTGTATTCTTTAAGACTTTTTGCAGTTCACCTAAGATTTCCTGCAGTGACAAATAACGTACACTAATGTTCAAAAGTTTGGAGTCAGTAAAATATTTATTGTTTTTGAAGGAAGTCTCTTATGCTCATCACGGCTGCAGTTATTTGATCAAAATACAGTTAAAAACAGTAATATTGTGAAATATACAATAACTGTTAAATATAATATTAAAATAACTGTTTTCTCTTTTAATATATTTTAAGATATGATTTGTTCCTGTGATGGCAAAGCTGAATTTTCAGCAGCCATTACTTCAGTTTTCAGAAATCATTCTAATATGCTGATTTGGTGTTCAAGAATTTTTTTTTATTATTATCAATGATGAAAACGATTAATATTTTTGAATTCTGATACTTTTTTTCAGTCGTCTTTCATGAACAGAAAGTTGAAAAGAACAGAATTTATTTGAAACAAATCTTTTGTAACATTATCTTTACAGTCACTTTTGACCAATTTAATGCGTTCTTTCTAAATACAAGTATTATTTCTTAAAAAAAAAAAAAAAACTGACCCCAAACTTTTAAATAATAGTCTCTCAGATGTCATGAGTAATTACACAAGAATTACAAAAACATTTGTTTAAATAATTTTAGATGAAGTATAGCATATCACACCACTGTAACTATTTCACTTTTCATATTAACTACCCATATATGTGTACATATTTTGTTGTACTTAATTACCTTTCGAGTATTTGTGACACTTGCCAGTGAAAATGTACAAGGACCAGTTTGGCTACAGCTGGTGACACCTGAAGGGAGAAAAAACATCTCTGTGCTGACAGACTAAACACCATACACAGTCTGAACAATTTACAGTTTGGAAAGATACATAAATACACAGCTAAATATTGTCAGCCAACAATAAATCTGCTTAACGTATTCACTCATTTGGTCCCTCACCTTTAGGGCACTGGCTACATTGTTGACTTCCTCAGTTAGTGCCCTCTGGCTCTCCCTATACGTCAAGCAATTGAACTGGTACTCTTCTGGGTCAAACGGTTCTTCTACTGCCACGTCATCGTCAAGTCCATCATAATAATCAGGGATGTCGCCCTCTGCGACGTCTTCGTCATCTTCGAATTCCTCGTTACTGTCTGAGGCTTGGCTACTCATATCCACAGACATAACCCTCTGGGCCAGACCTTTCCCCGACTGACAGCTGCTCTCCACTAATCAGCAGCTACTCTCCGCCCCCAACTGGACCGAGAATCCCAGGGGGCCCTGTGGCTTTTAGCAGCACCGAAAAAAACAGAAGAAATCACACTCCCCGTCACTCATGAGGAACCAGAGCAAGGGATGAGCTCAGACAGAGAAAAAAATACTGAAAGAGAGAAGAAAAACACATTATTTGGTATCTGTCATTTATACATGGTCAGACTGTATTTTCCATTATCTTAAAAGCCGTTTAACCTAAAAGTTTACGCTCAACATTAGTTGACTAGTTGATGAATTTCTTTACAAACCTACAATTCTTATTTTCTGTTTCTAAATGGATTTAAATTGCACCATCATGAAGGGATTTATTTTGTGATAATGACCATCTGACTCTACCTTTCCCATTTATTACACAGCTCCTTAACAAATATATGAATGGACATGAAATATTAATTCGAGTTGAAATTATTTCATTCTTTCTTATGAGAAGAAAGAGACTGCAGAGCACCCAGGAACACTGAACTCAATCTCCAACACAAGTCCTGGTGTTACTTGAGTTTATTATGCAATAATAACCATCTGACTGCACATTATCTGTGTGATAATAATAATACAATAATAATCGGTAGAATAATAATCCTATTATACAGCTACTTAAATACATGGACATGAAATATCGATTAGAGATATTTTAATAGTTTACCTAATGCTTAAATTACTCTAAATATTCTACGGTTGAATCCTGTGATCGACCAATCAAAATCAAGGATTCCCCCAAGTTGTGTAACAGAGGGTAACAGTACCTAACCACTTTTTCTGAGGCCTTTGATCCTAAAGTATTTTCCCCCCATTCACTTTTTCCCATAGGGATTTTTTAAAGTCTTAATTAAAGAGATATGAGCAATAAACCAAACCAAACCAACAAGCTACAAGGCCTTGCTAGTTCATTTCAATGACACCCACTAGGGATGTAACGATTACCGGTTTGACGATAAATCATGATAAAATTCCCCACGGTTAGTATTACCGTTTCATCTTTTAATTATCATTAAAACCATATTAGATTACAGCGATTTGAACAACTCGCGATAAATAAATACTGTCCAGCATAAAGCACAGTTTTAAGTAACAGTCTCACGTCTCACGGGCGCACAGCACGCAGAGTAGTTTCGTTTTGAGTGAAAACAAGGTAGAAAAGCTGGGAGGTTTTAAAAGAGTGCTAAGGGAATTATACAAATGAATATATGAATGAATTAATTATATGAATGTACCTCTGAAGGTTCTGACTGTCTTCAGAAACGATTCGATGGCATTTTGTTTTCATCTTCGGTCCATGTAATACCTAAAGGAAGTGTTTTAATCGCAATACTGCTTTGTCCACGGAGGTTAAGGGAAACAGCTCTAATTCATCTTTTCCATAAGCGCCACCTAGTGTCAGCGAGTGGATTTACAGAGACTTATATTTACATTCAGCCTGTGTGCAGTTTCTGTCTGGCCAAAAACGGACCGAATTTGCATGCCCTGCTGTAAACTTTGACCGGTTGATGAAAAACAAGCGTACGTGGATTCTACACATTTAAACAATTCAGATAAGCTATCTAGAATTATTTATGGAGCAGATAATATAATCATTTATTAATCAATTATCATTTTGACTTGCTGAAATGTGAGGTTTACCTTTTTATTAAACTTTTTCAAAGCTTTATTTGAACATTTACATTAGATATTTCAACATGCTATTAAACTGTTGTCAGTCAAGTTGTCATTTAAAATCCGGACATCATTGGTAATGTTATTGTTTTAGTGATTATGCAAACAAAAAGTCATAACTCGCGATAAATAAATACTGTCCAGCATAAAGCACAGTTTTAACTTTTAAGTAACAGTCTCACGGGCGCACAGCACGCAGAGTAGTTTCGTTTTGAGTGAAAACAGGTCGGAAAAGCTGGGAGGTTTTAAAAGAGTGCTAAGGGAATTATACAAATGAATATATGAATGAATTAATTATATGATAGCTCCATGTAATATCTAAAGGAAGTTGTTGTTTGTTGATTTTTAAATATAAAACTTAGTGAAGTGATTTATGTGTCTGTACTTTTTTAGCATCTCCAGCACATTTTAACAATACCGTGATAATACTGATAACCGTGATAATTTTGGTCACTATAATCGTGATAAGAAATTTTCATACCGTTACATCCCTAACACCCACTGAGCTTGACCCACTGGTCAAGGAGCTGCTCCAATATTTTTTAGATCAGCACACCTTGGAAACTATCTGAAGGTTGTACTTGTAGATGTCTGTCTCAGTATTACCAGTGGCCAAGCATCTCTTTGAGCGTAAGACAATCATAACCTCACATGCAGAGAGGCTTAGCGTTCCGTTTTAACGGATTACACGGTGTACTTGACAGTCCAACCGGACAGCAGGAGCAGGGGAGGCCGCGTGACCGCGAGCCTGATGATCACAGAGATCAGAGCTCTGCGTGTGTGTGATGACAGTCACCGATTCAACTGAATAAACAATCAGTGCACATTAAATTCAACGTGAGCACGGGGTCGGTGAGCAACCGTCCCGTTCCGTCCCGTCCAGTACAGGGTGGGTCGGAACCCCACAGTCATGGGACGACCTGAAGGTCTCCACGCGCTCGTGCACTGTCTGTCCCTAGCATTCCACTCGGGGCTATAAATAGAGCGCGACGCTGGGTGGCATGCATGTTATCTCGCTCGGCTGGGTTACGGATCATGTTTTAAGTGCGTGGGGGTCGGGTGGGGGGTTGAGCAAGGACTGCAAACTCACAGTACTGACAGAATGGGTTGTGCTTTGTTTACTCCATATGAATCGGGCCGCACCAGCTGTTGCTTCTCTCTACATCAGCACACATACAGCAGCGCGATCGATGCGCAGAGTCCCTCTCTCCAGCTTTATCCCTCTGAATATCGATTGTTTCACTACGCATATCCCGCAGTTTAAAGTGCATATAGTCCAATTAAACTTGTTTAAGTGAACGCACGGGTCGTTTAATGTCGCTTTCAGGGTTTTATTTGCAATCATCCGCCAGCGCGCACTCCAGCTCGGGGATTCGTATGTAAACAAGGCCGTTTTGGTTCGCTCGCCAAAGCCGCTGCTCTCTGATCGTTTAAAGCCCCCCGTCGTACCCAACATACTGACTTTACTCACCTGCAGGACGCGTCGGGCCGCCACTCGACGCTGGCTATTGGGACAGAGATCCGATCCGTTCGTTTAGATGAGTCGCAGCAGAGCTAAAGATCGGAAGTACTGGGGGATTCTAGAGTGGCGTCACTTCCGTGCTCGAGTGTGAGTTCTGTTACTGAGGAGGGGCCACACAGACACTATAAAACACACACATGCGCGCACGCTTATGCAAAAGTAAGTCAACAAAACAAGAAACCAGATTTGCAATGTGCAACTTAGGTACAAAGGCAAGCATATATTTTTTGTAAATTCGTGTTTTAGATCTTAGTAATTCAAAATCCAACTAACAATCACCGAATAGAACCAAGTTCCCAACCAATCCATTACACTCTGATGTACATCACAATTTGGATGAAAAGATCCATAGATATTTCTCTTTCATCACAACTTTAATAGTTATCACTAATGTTGCATTAAAGTTAAAGACAACTTAAAAATGGTAAATAATGTGCTGCTAAAATATGAACTATACAATTAACTGTATAATCTGTTGGAAACATATTTTCAAATTAAATTTGTTTTCCCAATCAATAGCCAAAAGTGCTATTCTGTGCATAACCAGATCACTTCAGGGGCAAGTTCAAGCTCAAACCGGTGTGCACCGTTTTGCTACGGTTTCCGGTTTGAACGACATGTTTCCGGAAACGTTGTGCAACGGGGTTTGAGATGCGTTTTCTCTTGTTTGGTGGGTGTGTCAAACATGTCAGCCCAATCAGCAGCAACGTGTATGTAAACCACGCGGTATTAAAGAGACAGCTCCCACAATGTAATTAACATCCAAATAAATTCACAAGAGCAAGTATATTGTTTGCACATGTTTATTTACATCAAAGGAAAAATAACTGAAATAATAAGGGCACAAGTATAGATCTGGAACTTCTTTAAGTCTGTCTAAATATCATTTAGTAATTGCAATGTCTTCTGGTCCATATCCTTTCCTTAGGAAGGTGTGCTAAATACTGATTAATGTAACATAAAAATACTATACATATTTACATATTTTGCTATTGCATTGTGGAGTGACACTTTCATAAACTTTTCTATACCCCTCTGATTATATAATGGTAAATATTACAATAACATAGCACAACAACAGTGATCAGCAATAATGATAATAATACTCACAATTAAAATAATAAGGTCATATAGATCATAACACAGTCTCGGAGGTAAGAAGTGGATTATCCTTCACCTGAAATGTTTGTCTTTTCATCCTGAAATGCGAGGCAAATGTTGGATCACAATAATTAGGAACCACAGTTTCCACAAATCCCATCCCATTTGATTGGGATGTTCTCTTTTATTCTGGACGGCAAGGGCAGTGACTGTAACATCGAGCGTATTTTGCAGTATTAAACACGTATTTATACCGATTTCATCAGGCTCCGAAAATTCTTCAAAAAGAACACAAAGAATGTCCTTTTCAGCTGCCATAGTTGCAACTCTTGGGTCATCAGAACAGTGTGTTCAATGCACCACCGTTTCCGTAAAAAAACCCATTTTGCACCGTTTTTGTCGGAGCTGAACGCAGCCCAGATGACACCTACAAAAAGTGAAAGACTCTAATTAGCCCTATTTTGGAACTCATAATTCACAGACACAAAAAGCTGCAACATACCATTTGTTTATTTGCATGTTTTTTTCATCAGCATGTTCTATAAAAATATGTATATGTATACAAAAACAAATATACCGTCTGTAAAAATGAGTAAACATAAATGGCTGACATTTTCAAAATTCCCTGCATATGCAGCTCTTGCAGTTATAAAAGGTTGGGTATAGTGATGTAGAGCTCACAGTTACAGATAATACATGCTTATAAATGCAGAAAAACATTTAAAAGGAAGATAAGGAAAGTGAAATAATAAAGGGCCGATTTAGTCACACTTTTTCAAAAGGGAAGAGATGTTTCTCCTCTCCACGTTTTTCTCGTTTAGTTACACGCCTTAAAATCTTTTCCTCTTGTTCCTCTTGCCTGTTCTGCAGCCATGAACTAACCAGAGAGGGTGGAGCTGTCTGAGCCCCGCCCTCTTCCTCCTCATCTGAGGACAGTCCTTCAGCCCCGCCTTCTTTCCCTTGCTTAACCCTGATGCCAGCCCCTGTTGCCCATAGCGACGCTTCAGCCTCTCTTTTATCAACAGGCCTTTGACCAGCAGTGTCCAGTTCAGGGCCGTTTCTAGGCATAGGCGAGCTAGGCGGTCGCCTAGGGCGCCACCAGCTGAAGGGGCGCCAATGAGCGCACGTACTGGCACTTTTAGCAGGGTTGTGATAAAGAGTGGCACGGTCACCCTGAAATATGACTGCCGCCCCCACTGGATCCCCCA